GGCTTGATACTGGGCCTGAGAGTAATTTACCTCCTGCAGAGTTTAACATGGTTATGCCCTGATATTTAGTAGGGCCACCGATGAATTGATGGTAGTAATCTGTCCCCACAAGGACAGCCATTTGGCATTTGATTTGCTCAAATTTACCTGCAGCTGCTTCATAATAGCTTTCCAGGTCAGCATAATCAACTGTTGATTGTTGTGACAAATCTTCACATTTCTTGATCTGTCTTGTTAAGTGGCCTTTAAGACCTGCAAGGGTTCTTTTCATTCTCCCTGCATTATCCATACTGGCTCGTTGGTGAAGCCTTGTGGGGCTTGTACTTGGGTCGCTCATAATACTGAACAAGCACTGATGGTAGCCTAGGGTAAATTCCGCACTCACTAGGCAATAATCCTACCTCTACTAGAGGTTAGCACTTAAAATTAATACACATTATATATATACACAATCATACACACTAATAATTTGAGTGATAAACCAGTGTCACTGGAAGTACCTTTAGGTTAGCTCTTCTATATCACCCTAGGATGGTAGAGACACTAATTAATCACTCAAAGGTGTAATGATCATAAGTAAATTATTATATATACACAACTCAACTCGAGTTGATAAAATTTACACCCAAAATAGGGTCTGGACCATTCATTAATGGTGTTAGGTTGATCAATATAGTACAACTGACTATGGTAATAATGGGACTAGGATGAACGATAATAGTTCAACTAGTCAATGGTTTTATCCTACCCTGTTGTGGGTTGGCAATTAGTAAATATTATACTGTGATCACTAGTGCAATATATATTAAATAATTCTCTATTTTGGAGAAATAATATACACAATTATTGATAATAGCCTCTTAATTAGCCTCTATGAAACTTCTAATATTATCAAGAAGTATTAAATATTATTAGTGACCTCGCGAAATAAAGTCCACAAAATTCGTAGATAATCTCTCGCGAAATGTAACACCACGAAATCCGTGAACAATATCGCGAAGACACAGTCACTAATTTGGCTGGCTTCAATATTAGCGCTGTCATTTCACAGAATAACACTCCACCAAATCTGTGGGTGTGCATGAAACCGCTGACGAAGCTGATCTGGGCTGAGGGAGGCTCCTGAGCTCCCACGAGGCTTCGCCGCTGTCTTTGACTGGCTTTGTTTAAATCACACTGCACTAGTATATTTAATGAATCCACTGGTTAACTGGTTCATCCGGTACTAAGATGACCAAATGTGGGTTCAAAGGACCGAATAATCCGGTTCGAAGGACCAAATAATGTGGGAACCGACCTGTGAGATTTATATTTATTTAATTTATATGAATTTATATTTACGTTAATTTATATACTTCGATAGCAATTTGTATAATGATAAGTGGACTGTATTTCTGCAATAATCTCATAATCTCACAAATCGATCCTCTACACATTAGGGGGGGTTTATTAGTTTATATATATGCAGCCAATCAAACTACAGAATTAACTACATACATTGAAGAGGTTCCTTATCTTATAGTACAGCAGGTTAGTCCACCAGGTATAACTAGGGTGTAGACACCAAATTATCCTCTTTGAGGTAGCTTCCATATCACCCAGTAACTGGTGCACAAAATCTTGCATCCTCGTCTTGACCTGTCAAAAGTGCGCTAGCTGTGAAGCTAGAATCCTATATATGACAAGTATTTCAGAGAAAACTGTACATGGAACATGAAGACCTGGCTTAATTACCTTTAGTTTGAGGCTTCCACGTGCTCTAACCGGGTCACCCTATATAATGACATTAATGGCCATAAATGAAAGATACATGGGTTTCGGAAAGAACACTTAACTTGAATTGTAGACATCGTGTTGGAGATGGTACCTTTGGTTTCCATAACACTACGTCCAAGTAAAATTAACAGGAGCCGAATTTGCTCCCGTGTGAGCCTCTGGTCTCATTATAAACAATGGCTGTTTAACACTCCATACTATTGACGTTACTGGCCGACATTGTCCAGATATGATAGGAGCTAAATTTGCTCCACACGTCTCGGAGGTGACACAACAATGGCTGCCCTCCTTCCTCCCTCTGACGCCTGGCTTACATTCTCCAAATGTCAGAAAGTGATAGAAGGGTCACATTTACTCTACTTTAATAGTGATAATTAAGTTAATTTATATAAGATGTTTTTATGATGGTAAAGTCCAAAGACTAATGTATTTAAGAATAATTCCCAGCAGAATAGCTGGTGAATTATAATAGTATGTGGTGATGATATCCCGTTTTCTATAGACGGTAATTCCACTACAAGTTACGTTTTCTATGGGTAACTTGTTGGTAATACAGCTATTATCTGTATGATTATTAAATGGTGTCGGATTTTCCGACAAGGCCAAGAAACTTGCCATCATTTTTATTACTGATGTTAATGTTGTCTATCTGTAGCTGAATTGCATTTGATGATTTGCTTCCAAATAAGATGTAGTAAGTCTTTTCGATGTTTAATGTTAGTTTGTTCGTTGACATCCATAAGTGGACTTTTTTTAATTCATTATTCACAACATTATTTAGTGTATGTGGGTTGAGGTTTGAGTAGATAAGGGTAGTATCGTCAGCAAACAATATAGGTTTGAGAATATTAGAGACATTTGGCAGATCGTTTATATATATAAGAAATAGAAGAGGTCCTAAGATGCTGCCCTGTGGCACTCCAACGGTAATTGGTAGAGTGGAAGAAGTTGTATCATTGATGGTTACATATTGGTGTCTGTCACTAAGATAGGATCGGATGTAGTCAAGGGCAAGGCCTCGGATTCCATAATGCTGGAGTTTAAGTAAGAGGTAGTTGTGATTAACAGTATCAAAGGCTTTTCTTAGGTCAATGAAGAGTCCAATCGGAAACTCATTTTTGTCAAGGGCTTAGTAGATAATGTCAAGTAGACTAATGATTGCATCATTGGTGCTCTTTTGGGACCGGAAGCCAAACTGGCAGGGGCTGAGTATGTCGAATTTTACGAGGTAGGAATAGAGCTGTTTGTAAATAATTTTTTCAAATATTTTTGATAGAATGGGTAGATTTGATATTGGTCTATAATTGTTTATGTCCGCCGGATTGCCTCCTTTATGGACTGGCGTTACTCTTGCTTTTTTGAGGATATCAGGGAAGGTGTGATACTCTATAGATTTGTTGAACAGTAGTGCTATGGGTGGGGCAAGGGCATGGGAGGCTCTCTTGTACACAATGGACGGAATTTCACTGGTGTTCCCTGCCTTGGTTTTTAGAGAATGTATGATGGACACAACATCTGCCGGGCTGATTGGTGAAAGGAGAAGAGAGAAGTTCTCTCTATAATAATGATCTCTATAATAATGTTCATATCTCGGTCTTTCTGGAGGCATATAAGATTTTAGGCTTTATTAACGTATCTTTGTTAATTATACAATATATCTGCAAGTGCGTAGGCGTCTGCACTCCATGCCCGACAAGCTACTGAGCGCTACTATAAAAACATATGTATCTTCACTTGAGCTATAAATATGTCTATTGTAATGTATTTAAAATGAAGCTCTTATTTCTATCTTGCTTAAGACATATAAAACATTTGTGTTTATTAACGAATTTACGTGAAATAAACATTGATCTGAGAGAGTTGCTCTGTCGTTCAGTCTGTGCGGGGTGGGAGCTCCGTAATTTTTAAAATACATGTATCTTCATTAGAACTTTAAATATGTCCATGGTAAAGTGTTTAAAGTGAAGCTTATATGTCTGCCTTTCTTGAGACATATAAAATATATATGTTTATTAACGAATTCACGTGAAATAAACATTGTTCTGAGAGAGAGTTGCTCGGTCGATCAATCTGTCCGGGGTTAAAGCTCGGCTATTATAAAAGTACACGTATCTTCGCTTTAAATTTAAATATGCCCATGGTAAGGTATTTAGAATGAAGCTTATATTTCTATCTTTCTTGTGACATATAAAACTCTTACGTTTATTAAGGAATCTGCGTGAATGGGCATGGTTCTGAGATGAATGCTGCGGTTTTCGAGCTCGACGCGCGGCAATGGAGCCATACACATCCAGTGGGTGTTATTGGACCCTATACCCATTTTATTTGTGGTTGGAGCCCCATACCCATTCTATGGGTGGTTGGAGCCCCATAACCATCCTGTGGGTTGTAGTGGACGCCATACTCATCCTGTGGGTGGTATTGGACCCCATACCCTTCCTGTGGGTGGATGTGATCCCCATACTCATCCTGTGGGTGGATGTGACCCTCATACCCATCCTGTGGGTGGTATTGGACCCCTTTCCCACCTAACAGGCGGTAGGTGACAATATACCCATCCTAGCTATAGTTGGTATAGTAGACACAATACCGTCCTGTTTGCAGTAGTTTACCCCATAGACATTCCAACGTAACATCGTTTTCTGTTAGCGTTCCTACAAAACATCCTTTAAAGATCTGTAAAGCACAAACTATGTTATATAATATTGATTGGTGAAGGACTGTTATTCTATGTAATAATTTTTAGTGCTTATTATAATTTACTAAGAACAACTAATATTTCTCAAAACAAAACTACGAGCCTTCAATAGGATGTAGCTGATCTGTAATATTCTAAGAGCATGGACAATAGTAGGTAAATTTCACAACCCATGTGGGACCTAAAAACTACAATTTTCCTTATAATTGAACCAATCACGAATATTCTGCTATCTATGTTGACGGACGGGTACTGTGACACGTAAATTGGTACGTGAGGAAGAGTTTGGGCCTTGGTAAAAAAAGTAACTGGGAATATATCACATATTTACTAATTCATATTCAACATATTGACTTTAAGCATTAAGTCATATATGTGCTGTCTTGTGTGAGAACGGGTTGCTGAAGGTACACAAGTACTCAGCTAGATGTGGGTCTTCACCTCTAACTAATTCCCATGAGTCAAGAGGTTTTCTGACAAATTCTATATTCCATGTTATGTCTGTAAAGTTAAGTGGCTTCTGCAGGTGAGTGAGCGAGAGCAGGCGGCAGTGAACGCCTGGCTGGCGTCAGGGAAGCATTTGCACGTGATGCGGGATCACCCACAACATGGTGCGCCTATCTTGGGTGGGACTTGGGCAGCTCGCTGGGACCAAGACATCATCAACGCCAGTGAACTCATTACCATCAGGGACCTCATGTTCAGGGACGCTGTTGGCACCTCCCGTTATGGAGGAGATCAAGCCATTTTAGCAGTCAGTATATTATACATTCACTTATAATGTAGTGTGGATTTTAAGTGCAATACATTAAGCAAACGCAAACTATGTTTTTCTAATTAACACCAAAGTAATTTGTTCATTTACAATAATTCTTTTGTAATGTGTCTGAAAACAAAATATATTAAGTTTACTAAAAACTCTGGAGTCTTTATAGTCTTAAGTGCATACTTGAGGTGTAGAAATGTCCTGATGGAGTCTGCTGAAGGAACACAAATAAAATGATGTTTGTTGACGATGAAGAAATACCCTAATACTGAAAGAGCTAAACCTGCCACCCATACCCATGAGATGCCTTCTTCATCTCTCACAAAATGTCATTTTGACACAGCATATTATGTTTCCAAAAACATGATATTAAATTTAGTTTAAAAGGAATTATAACCGGTAGTTGATCTCAAATTCCCTGGAGAGTCATTCATGGCTCGGTCATCTTCTTGAAAAAGTTCAACATATACCTTGCAATATATACCCTATATATTATATATATATAATATATAGGTATATCAAAGGGTATATATACATATACCCTTTGATGTACTTAAATATGTTGCCATTTATAATACCAATAATTGAATCACAGATGAGAAAATATTTTTCTGACTAATTGTGGATTTTATTGCACTTCAATAATATTTTTTTAATTAAAAGAATTAACTACTATTCAACAAAAAATAATGATGAGAGCAAACTGAGCTGTCTGGTGAAATAGTAGTAATATGCAGTGGCTCCAGGGAAGACTGTGTTGATATTATTCTTTGTGCCATGGTGTGGACGGTGTCTTCAGTTCCTTAGTTGATTTCATGAGGGACTAGACAAGGAAGGAGTCTCAACATTTAGTGGTGCTGCCTTAATTTATCTGTTGATTTAAATGTATCTCATTACCTAATGGTAAAAGTAATTGTATTATTAATTAGGTAAGGTAAGGCAAAAGAGAGAGAGAGGTGAGGAGAAGGAAATCTTAGAGGAAGACAAGAGCAAGGCAAAAGGTACGGAAGGTAAGGTGTAATAAAGTGTGTAATAATAATATAATAGTGTAAGAGTGTAATAATAGTATAACATGTATCAGACACGTTATACTATGTTTTTGGTAGAAATTTTTCACATCTACGGAGGCGGGAGTTGACGGCTCGGAGTCCATTATTTAGGACTGACACGAGACAAACGTATGCGATGTTTACTCCCCATCGTTTTGAACGTACAAACACAATGTTTTTTTGCATATTTGTGCGGCTGTCCTTTGGGGGATAGATATCCCGTACTTGGGTCTGTGGATCGACATGTGTTGATACTGGGCTCTGGATCCCAGGATCTGTCCGATCCACGGACTCCAGGTGTACTAGATTCTTTAGTATTTTCAATGACGAATTTTCTTTAGACTGACCTTTAACTATCCTCAAAATGCCCAGACTGTCTGGGTGGACAGATATGACTTTACCTAACGGCCAATCAGACCTTGATCCATCACTGACCATCAGGACAATATCACCAGGTTGTATGTTCACTTTGTCATATGGGGAATTTTGCCCATTATGGTGCTATTCCACATATGTATTATGTTGGGGAGATGCTTTTACCCTTGTACCAACTCACTATCACCCAGGTATGAGAGATCTCTGACATTCTCATCTGGTAAGGAAGGTACTGGAGTCAGTGGTTCACCGTACATTAAGTGGGCTGGACTTACTGGTGCATGTTGAGTAGAGTCATCTGACATGTATGACAACGGCCAATTATTTATTCTCGACTCGATTTCTCTGACTATTGTTTCGAGCTCCATGAGGCCTATCTTCTGGTGATGCAGAGTTTTTCTCCTACATCTCGACTGTACATATTATTCTTTCATAAAATCCTCCATGCCATGGAGTTCTAGGTGGGATGAATTTCCATTTGCACTGTCTTTGTTGTGCATTACAGACTACAGGATGTGAACAGATTTTCCATAAACATTTATGGAATGTAGCAACCAATGTAGAATGTAAGCAACCAAGTTAGCTGCATTATCTGAGATTATCAGTTTAGGGCATGATCGGAGTGCTGCAAATCTACTGAAAGCCTGTATTAATGAACAGTCACATCAGGTCTTACTTCTAAATTAACTGCCCTAGTAGTTGCATAGGTAAATAAACAGATATACGCTTTTATCGGATGTCCATCTTGTGTACCTGTAAGAGAGATAGCCCCTGTGTTATGAACTCAATTTGTTTCGAAGGGGCGTAAATGAACAACTCTTTTTTTATAGAGCAGAGGTGGACCAGGGTAAGGGCATCTTGCATCGTACATTCGGCTTATCACACAATTCTTCAGGATGCTTTTTAAAGACTGTCATCTCTAAGGATACCAGTACTGTTGTCTCAGTTGTTTTATGATATCTAACACTCCTCAATGATTGGTGAAGTACTGATGTATGTGCAGCACAATCAACCTTGTGATCCAATTTTTTTTGGCAAGGATACTGTTTCTTGGTTTATATCTGCATGTTCAGTCAATGTCGGAAATCCCAACACCATTTACTAACTTTCAAAACAATATGCAAATAATATTGTTGCTGATTTTGTATTAGCATATTAACAGAATTATCATAGTTACTCACTCAAAGAAAATTAGAATTAAAGGAATTGTTCCCATGAAAAATAAAAATAGAATTTGCCACTTCACCAACTAATAATGTTGTGAATTCATCTTAAAACACCAGTCTGGAGAACAAAATTGATAAATAGCATTCTCCGTCACTGGATCTAATTGAAACACAAATCAAACCCAGGTCTCCCTCACATTATCGATAAATGGCAGAATATTTATCCACTCTCTCGACGTGTCGCTTGATCGGGGAGGGAGGCGGAGACGCCATTAATTATCAACACTAAGTCTTGTCTGCGAGCACGCGAGCATAAGATACACAACAATTTCCCACTAGTCACAGTGTTGCAGTGCACCAAATCTCCTATTATCTGCACGCCTTCAGGAGCCATGAGATTTGTTAAAAGTTGTTCAATGTCAACCAATATTTTTTGACTAGTTGTATATGAAAAGGGCTGCAATTGTTCCAAGCGTCAGTACTGCAGCCTAAATAGAAAGGGAGATTTAATTTTTGTTTTCTTTTTTTCAACGAATATTACACATTTTCAAGTGAGTTGCCACAACCACACGTTTCAGATATAATCATTCTCTGACACATTAGCATATAATAAAGGATCTGATGCTGCGAATTTTCCAAAACATGTTTAGCTTTCCTAATACAAATCGTCAAAGTTCCCCCCCCCCACTCAAAAAATAAATATGGAAATATATCATGTTTATTGCTATTATAAATCAATAAATGAACTTCAGAAAAAACGCTGGCCCCAGATTTTAGAGATATAAACGTTACATATAAGGTGTAAGTTTCATGTAAATTGAATAAAAATGAAAGAGTAGCAACTCGTTTATGTTACTTGAAAAATAAATCATTAAAATATTAAAGTCTGAGGTACTGCCATCGGTGGCTGAGGTTGACATCAACCAATTTCCTCCAAAATTGGCACCCTTACAAATAGGCTTACGGGCAGTCAGGTGTATAAGTGTCATGCAAATCGTCCGATAAACAAATAAGAAAAATAAAATTGAAAAAAAAGGATTTTTTTTTTAAATGATTCTTTTAATAAAACTAATTATAATATTTTTTAATATATACTATTGTGATAGCTGAGAGTCATAGACACGATTTCAGTTGACACTTGTGTTTGATAATCGTTTTTGAACATTTTGGAAAATTTTTGACACAATTCAATATTGTTTTTTTCCCTTCCTATTTATGCTACGATGCTGAGACTTGGACCAGATGAAACCCTTTTCATATACAACCCTTCAAAAAAGTTTGATTGAAATCGAACGAGTTTCCATTTATTGTATATTTTTGGCATATTTGGAACTTATGCCCCCTTCATTAGCTAATAATTCTATATCCGTTTGACTATAATTAATATGCATTTATGGCCATATTTAGTGTATTATGTCAAGTGGTTAGAATACATGACAAGCCACCTGGAACGGGTAAGCTTAAATTAACTAAATGAATTCTCCCTAATATCTTGCCTCTGATATAGCCATCATACATTAGCTGTAGTTCATTACTATGTTACTATTTGACAGGTGAAATTAAAGGGGAAGAAGACACTACTGGCTTTTGGCCAGTATTTTATACATTTATGTTTTGTCAGAGGATATTTGTGTGCCATTTTTCTGCACTATATTGCTATATATATATATATATATATATATATATATATATATATATATATATATATATATATATATATATATATATATATATATATAGCAGACGGGTGACAACTGTCCTTAAGCCATCAAATATCTCTTGTAGAGATAATATGTTCTTTCCGTATTGTGAACATATGTGCCAATATCTTTGGCAATAACGTCGTCTGTCGAGTCTAAATTCTCTATTACGGCACTCATTTTCCCTTTAACCTGGCATTTTAAGTATGAAAATTTATTTATCTTGGGCCTTTGAATTTATGTATCAAAAGGTTGCCAGAAATCATCCGAGTTTTCCTCATTAAACCCAGTAAAGGTGGCTGCTTGGGAAGCGGGGTTTGTGATGGCATTAAATTTGGTGCAGCAGCTGTAGTTGTACTAGTATTTATATATTGTGCAAGCATGGATGTGATTGGATCTAATTTGGCCTGAGTATCATCTTCATACTGGGGGTCATGTCCATAAGAATATCCATATATACACCTGCTGTTTTGCCATCTACTAATGCAGTCAAGTACGTCTTTGTCTATTGACTTGCTCAAATTAGGCTGTGGCCACTTGGCAATATGTGTCCAGTTGTACATAGTCAACTTGTGTTTGTGTAGAAAAATCCTCGCATTTCTCGAGTCTTGTCTACGTCTGGTTAAATGACCTTTCAAACCTGCTAATTTTTTCTTATGTTTTTCTACAGTAACCATGGTTGATGAATAGCTGGCTGCGTGTGCTCATGGACTTAAAAATTAATTACTTTAAGTCTTAGTGTAACTGTTTGTGTGTGTGTGTGTGTGTGTGTGTGTGTGTGTGTGTGTGTGTGTGTGTGTGTGTGTGTGTGTGTGTGTGTGTGTGTGTGTGTGTGTGTGTGTGTGTGTGTCCTCATTGTGGTGGTGTAGTGGTGAAGATTTTACTGAAGCCGTCCGCCCCTCAACTACCCAGATGGCTTCGCTAATACGGATTTATAGTGCCCAGTTTAATTTCAACATTGATTTTATACTCCTGTTTAGCAAACGTATCTGGTTAAACAGTTATTTATGGTTTATATGTATTTATTTTAAAGTATTACCCTAATAATTGAATGACCCTTGGTATTAATTTAAGTGTCCTGGTAAGGAACCCTAAAGAGGCCTCCCTTGTTTAACAAATCACATAATGGTAGTCATTTCCTGACTAAACGCTCTATGTTCTGGTAGGGTTTGGCTTGTGTCTAAAAGTATCTATGCCTGGTGCATGTGCTCTATCATAGACCACGTACTATAACTCGGACATATTATACTATATCTTTGGTAGGAATTATCCACATTAATTATGTACATTCTTGACCCTCTTAGAGAAGACTGTGGCCGGTGATGAAGGGTCGGGTGCTGGGTCACGACAGTTACACCTGCACATAATTATGACCGTTGTTGACCCCTCAGAGAAGACTGTGGCCGGTGATGAAGGGTCAGGTGCTGGGCCACGACAGTTACACCTGCACAGCTTTCCCAGGAAGTGTTCCATGGCCCACGCAGCGGGTGGACGGGTTCTTCGTGGGATCTCCCAGGTGTGTTAGTGTGTGTATATACTCACCGATTTCTTCTCCAGTACAAAAAGCTTTTGCTCTTGAACTCCGCCTTTCCAACAGTTGGTTGTTCAATGGAGTGACTTAACTAGTTCCTATCATATCTACATTCAAAATTACCAATGGACTTCTATATCAATGGATTTCTATAATTTGCTCATTTAGGTCTTTCCATTTCCCTGCTACTTCAATGCTAAAAACTAATATCTCTCTAGCTCATCTGTTTCTCAAGCTTCCATCTAGTGGTTGTTGTTATTCACTGTGAACATCTTTTCTACCCTGTCAGAACCTTCAAGTAAGTGTGCCCGCTACCCAACTTTTTCAGCTTTATCTTAATTTCGTTATTTCATTATCTTTCGCTCAGGTCGTAAGGTATGATTTCCCATTTTTAAGGTCACGTTAGTACTTATTTATATACCTAATACTCTCTACGTCCTTAATCTTATCATTATTATTTTTCTTAGAACTTTGCAAGAGGATATTTGTCAGTGACACTCATCCATAGTTAAAAGCCTTCACTATAACTTTTCTTGCATATTGGGAGCACATTTGCCATTTCCCGAAGATTTTATCATTCCCTTCACAATTGAATTACTAGAGAAGAGAGTTATAGGTACACTATAACTTCTGTATACCTATAACTGGAGGGAGAAGAAGCGCTTTCCAGTTATAGGTACACTGGAGGGAGCTTTAGGTATAGCTACTAAAAGTGCTTCTCCTAAACTGTTTGCATGTTTATATATATGTTTATATTTACCAATTTTAGCTGACGTGTGTGTACTATAAGAACCATTTCAACCGAAGTAAATAAAGAAAAAACTATTTTACATTTTACTATTAATAAAATTTGTTTACTCTATTCGATGAGATATATTTCCAAGGTAAGGTAATTATCAAAAGAAGGCAAAAAACCGGGAAGGCTATGTAGCACCATCAAAGTGCAAAATAATCAGAGGGCGCTAAATATCACCAAGAATGCCAATACGAGAACAAAAACGCATAAGGTGAACGATATCAAAAGTATCCGATTCACCTAGAATTCTATCGACGGACAAGTGACCGCGAGGAATGATCGAAAAGCAAGACACGCTCGTCCTGGAAGTCAGGACATTCAACAAGGATATGCACAACTGTAAGAGGGACAACGCAATTCGGACAATAAGGAGCAGGGCGTCGCTCCATTAAGTGATCGTGGGTTAAGCGAGTATGGCCAACCCGCAGCCGTGCCAAAGCAGTTTCCCTCCGCCGGTTATGGTGGTAGGAGGAAGGCCACGGGGACACACTACGTTTGAGAGTACGCAGCTTGTCACTAACCACAGAGGACCAACAACCCTGCCAACGGGCAAGAATGGAGGAATGAATAACAGCATAAAAGTCGGAATAAGGAATACCTTTACAGGAGATGGGACAAGAACGGATAGCTTCCTTAGCGGCAGCATCCGCACGCTCATTGAAAGAAACACCAATATGGCTGGGAACCCAGCAAAACTCTACCAATTTAAATTTACTAGAAATAAGAAACAGCCAATGTTGAATCTCGATGACCACCGGATGGACAGGATTAAAAGACCCTAGAGCCATGAGGGCACTTCGAGAGTTAACTACAACCACAAAGGAGGAATGAGAATGAGAAAGCAAGAGACAAAGAGCATAGAGAATAGCATAAAGTTCTGCCGTAAAGATGCTAGCCTCCGAGGGGAAGCGACACATATAAGTACAGTCATTTAAAAACAACAGAGTAGCCCACACCGTCCACAGACTTAGACCCATCGGTGAAGATGGAAATAGAGTGGAAATGCGAAGAAAAGTGCTCAAGGAAGAGGCTTTTCAGAATTGCAGGAGGGGTAAAGGCTTTAGTAATACAAGTCAAGGACGTACAAAACTTGGGAAGGAGGACTCTCCACGGAGGTAAGGAAGGAACAATACGAGGACAAACATTAGAAATATGAACAGAAAGAGAATCCTGTAAGCGAGATAACCGGACAGAAAGTGGGAAACGATGAAGAGGAACAGGAACTACAGGAGGAGGAAAAGTCAATGCACGACAGAGGCGAGAGGAAGGATGTTGGAAGGACCGTGCAAGATAGCGAAGACAGTTGCGATCACGGCGGTCCTGAAGAGAGAGAAAGCCAGTGTCAACATACAAACTGAGGGCGGGAGTCGAACGAAAGGCACCAGAGCTGAGACGCAACCCAGTATGGTGCAAAGCATCAAGACGGCGAAGAGTAGGAGGAGAAGCAGAAGAGTATGCAGGGCAACCATAATCGAGTTTAGACAGGACGAGAGAGGAGTGCAAAAAGAGGAGTGTGCGCCTATCCTCCCCCCAAGAAGTATGGGACAAAACCTTAAGGAGGTTAAGGGCCTTAGAGCACTCAACTCGGAGGTAAGAGATATGGGCTGACCAAGACAAACGAGTGTCAAAGACTAACCCCAAAAGATTCGCGGAATCCTTGTACACAATGGGATGACCATAAAGTGACAAAGAGGGACGAAGAACGACATGCTTCCGAGTAAAAGTCATAGCACAAGTCTTAGACGCAGAGAACTTGAAGCCATGATCGGTGGCCCAAGACGACACGGCATCAATCGCAAGTTGAAGCCGCCGTTGAAGGAGAGGTGAATCATCACCCCGACAGCAAAGGGTAAGATCATCAACATAGAGAGCAGAGAAGACGCCAGAAGGAAGAGAGGAAAGAAGACCATTGAGGGCAACTAGAAAAAGAGTAGTGCTCAGAACACTACCCTGGGGTACACCCTCATACTGCTGAAAAGGGGCAGAGAGAGCAGTACCAAGCCGCACACGAAAGGAACGACGAGAGAGGAAGCTCTGGAGGAAGAGAGGGAGGTTCCCACGAAGGCCAAAAGAATGACGTTGAGACAGAATATGATATCGCCATGTAGTGTCGTAAGCCTTTTCCAGGTCAAAAAGGACGGCAACAACAGAGGTCTTCGCAGCAAAAGCAGTACGAATATAGACCTCCAAGTTCACCAGGACATCTGTCGTACTGCGGCACTTGCGAAAACCAAATTAAGAAGGGGAGAGGTGGTGATAGTGTTCTAAGAACCACATCAAACGAACGTTAACCATACGTTCAAAGAGTTTGCAGACACAACTCGTGAGGGCAATAGGGCGGAAGTCCTTGGGGGATGACCCGAGAGACCCTGGTTTGCGAACAGGGAGGACAACAGCATCGAGCCAGTCTTCAGGGACTGACGACGACTCCCAGACCCGATTGTACAGACCCAGTAAATACTGAGACGTGCACGGAGGGAGATGGCGAAGCATTTCATAATGAATGCCATCGGAGCCCGCTGCTGTAGAACCACAAAGGGCTAGGGCAGATTGAAGCTCAGAGAGAGAGAGAGAGAGAGAAGGGATCATTATAGGGAAGGTGAAGATAAGTACAGAAATTTAAAGGACGAGATTCAAGGAGAGGCTTACGAAGAAGGAAGGATTAGGGGAGATGAGAACCAGAACTAACAGAGGAGAAATGGGAACCCAGTTCGGTCGCAACCTGCAACGGGTCCGCCACAAGAGCACCATGGAGGCGAAGGACCGGTGAGACATCGGGAACGAACTTACCCGCAATCTTGCGGATACGCTTCCAGACCAGTGGGAGAGGAGTTTCGGACGTAACGGTGGAGACATAAGACGCCCAGCAAGCACGTTTAGCCACACGGATGGTCCTATGGGCCACCGCACTCGCCTTCCGAAACAAAAGAAAAGACTCGACCGTCTGCCAGCGGCGATGTCTCTTCCAGGCTGCACGCTTACAGCGGACAGCCCGAGCACAGTCCATACTCCACCAGGGAACGCAGTTCCGCGTTCCCGAGAGGAAGAGCGAGGAATAGAGTGGAGGGCAGCGTCAAAGATAGTGTCATGAAAAAAAAGGAGGGCGCGAGGGAGAGGCAGAACGGAGAGGTCGGAAATAGAAGCACGGAGAGTAAAGAGGCGCCAGTCAGCCTCGGCAAACCGCCACCTAGGGAAGGAGAAAGGAGGGCGAAAAGAGAAAAAAGTGACAAGGATAGGAAAATGGTCACTGCCATGGAGGTCATCAAGAACCCGCCACCCGAAATCTAAGGAAAGGGATGACGAGCACAGAGAAAGATCGAGACAAGAAAGACAGCGAGTCCTAGAGTCCAAATGAGTGGGCTCACCAGAATTAAGAAGGGACAGGGAAGAAGAGAGGATGAAAGGTTCAAGGAGGCGACCCCGGGTGTTTGTCAGCACATCACCTCAAAGGGCATGACGACAATTGAAATCACCCAGCAGGAGCACAGGCTCCGGCAAGGAGTCTAGGAGGTGTTTAAGATCGGGAAGAGAAAGTGGGACAGTGGGGGGAGATAAATGGAACAAACTGTGTACCATCTACGCACAAAGACACGGGCAGCAGAACAGTGGAGAGGCGAGGAAAAAAGTAAGGGGAAAAAGGAAACATCGGAGCGAATCAAGAGAGGAAGAATTATGGACCCCAGCTGTCGCTGGGGGGGGGGGGAGAAAAGAATAGCCACGGAATCGACCAGGACGAGCACCAAGCATCGGCTCCTTGAGATAGACACAAAGGGGCGAAAACTGTGAAATGAGAAGTTGGAGGTCAAGGAAATTGGCGTAAAATCCACGGATGTTCCATTGAAGAAAAGACATTAGGAAAGAGAGAGAGGAGAGCAAAGATGAAACAAAGGTGAAGAAGGAACACAGCACACTAAAATAGCACAGGGTCAGGATCAGGGTCAGCGAAGTCTGGGTTAGGGGGCATGGGTAAACTGAGTAAAGAAGGAGGGAAAGAAGCGGGAGGACAGACCAGAGGTGGACGAGCAGGGTCTGGAGGAGAAGGAAGGGGAGGAGGAGGGGCAGAAAGAGGGGAGCGCACCTCAGCAAGGGCAGTAACCGAGATGGAACCGGGGGCTAAAGAAACCCCCACAGTAGGAACAGGGGGCTCCACCACCGAAGCGGGAGGGGAAGGAACGATAGAATCAGAGAT